ATTTTCCAGATTGTCAAATATTTCTGAACCTTCCTCACAAAGTTTATAATCACAAGATGTACATTGGTAACCTGGATTAACATCAAATTCATCAATATTTACATTTTGATTTAAAAGTAAAGATGTCTGCTTAATATGCAGCTTTTCAATACATTGTTGAACATTTATAAAATAGGTGCCACCTGATCTTTGGCGAAGTTTACCAAATTCTTTTTCTAATGGATCAGTTGAAAATTGCCCAAGTAGTACATATTTATGACTTGTAGCTAAAAGGTGTCGACATAGACTAACAATTCCATTGCAAATATGATGTATGGCAGTAGCAATGTTTTGGGATAATTGATTTTTACGATTACCTTGACTGCCAGCCATATTAAGAGCCATTTTACCAAATTCAATGATAAAATCAAGTCGGGTGTCATTTGGAGATTTGATTTCAGCTTGTAGAGGATCATTATTTAATTTATCAATTTGAAGGCATTTAACATTTAAAATTTTCCACCATGTCAAAACCTTGTTTATGAAAGGGCAGTATCATTCTTACTTGCACTTATTTCAGACTGAGTGAGAAGTGCATTATATGTTTTTCAGAAAACACTCTGAGGCAAGTACAAACCCGTTGTCTTTCTATTGGCTTTGGAGCAATGGAAATTTCATTTAAATCTGAAAGTTTAACTAGTCTTTCAGATTCAAAATGATATAACTGTTTAAGATGTGTCCGTTTTGCAACTCGACTTACTCCATCATCATCAAAGATTAGTTCTCCTGTTTTTTCTGTCAGCCACAAATTGCGAATATTTTTCAACATATGAACATAATCAAAAAGCAAATGTTTATTATCTTCAGTTAACCAAGGTTTTTCAGGAAGTGTAGGATATAATTTAAAAAAAGCTTGATTTATGCGGTTACCATCACATATAATAGCCTTTACATCAGCTGGTACAGAGGTGATGGCTTGGACTGTTAACTCAATTTGTTCAAATAAAAAGGCGGATGTTAATTTTGAAATTGGAATCAATTTTGTAAGAAAATTTGGACCCCCATTGAGACATATCAACATTATACCAAGAACTGTTTGAGCAAGTACAGATGGATTGTCAACTGATTTACCAAATAGTTGTTTGCCATGATATAGTAACATCTTTTTGATATATACTTCATCATGGAGAATTATGCACCCTTTTTGACTGGTATTAAGAGTATTAAATATAGATAACAAAAAAGATTTTTCATTAAGTTTTGAAACTTTTGACGTCATCCTTCATAATGTTGCTAATGAGGGTAATTGAAAATCATATCTTAATTCATTATACAATGTCTGTGATCTTGCATAGTACCCAAAAGCATGCACAACTATATCTGAGCTGTATTTTATTCCAACCATTTTGGGGGCCATTGCTAAAATTGCTGACTCAGGATATTTTTCTTGTGATCAAAAAAAAAATAGAATTTAAATATCGGATGATTTCTTCCAATTTTGACCAAGTATCAACTGTATTTATATGATTTTTGGACAGGCTGCTAATATAACACTTAACTCCATAATGTAATGTTTCAAATCGCAAATTGTTATAAATTTTCAACATAAAGAGTAGGAATACCATCAATAGATTTTGATAATTGAACAGTTAAAGTATTTTCATCCAAAAATGCTACAACTGGAATCCTAATTCTAAAAAAGCATTAAGTTCATCAGCAATTTGATTTCTAACAGTACTGGAGGTTTTATTTTATATTTCTTTGAACAGCTGAGGGTGTTGGTATTTGACTACTTGGCACACCTGGCCATACAGATGGTGGATTTTTTGGACGTATGGTATTAAAATTTGAAGGCCAATGTTGTTTACCTTAAAACTTTATATTAAATTTAAAAACATTCATAAGTAGCCTTTCCTTTAGTTTGGTTATTTTAATACGCTTTAAACTATATAAATAGGAATATATTGTAGTGGGCCGTGGCGGTTACCACTTGTTGAGGGTTAATGGCGTGGCTGTTATGTTGTTGATAGAAGTCAGATGTAGAGGAAACGCATGTAAGGTTCAGATACTCCTGCCCGCTGAGCCCAACTACATAAAAAGGTTGGACTTTGATTAAGTCCAAAGAAGAAGGAAAAGAAAACAAACAAAACACAAGACCGATAATATATATATATACAAATATATATTGATAACAAGTTACAATACATGGAAACAGTACAAAGGACGAAGTGTGTTTTAATATTGTGTATGTGCGTGAGTGTGTGAATATTGTGTATGTGCGTGCGTGCGTGTGTGTGTATTGTGCTTAGCGTGTTTCCACGCTATCCCTTGTTAGCGTCTACATTTCAAGGTTGATAGCTGAAATCCTGAAGGAAAAAGAGATAGAGGTGAAGGGTCAGCGGCTATTTATAGCCAGGGAAGAGAGACCCCTGGTGAAATGGTTAACTCCGACAATATATAACTTCTTTTTTACCTTAAAAAAAGCAAAACAATTAAAAGTAAAGTAAAAATAATGCATTTTGTCCTAACAACAATATCAGAAAAATATTAAAATAAATATGATAAATAAATTGGTATTATTATACTTGTCCTGTAAAATAAATTTTGTAGTCAAAAGGCGTAAAAAAGGAGACCTTTCTTTCTAAAAAAAAAAAAAAAAAAAAAAAAATATTGACATTAACCGCATGTAATAAATTTATTATTGTTATTTTTTTCTTTAATTCTAGTAAGTAAAAAAATACTTACAGTTCACCAATTGGTAACTAATGTAGTAAAAATAATCATTTATTCTTTAACTTCGGAAACAAAAGTGAGAAGAAATTCGTTTGTTTTGTTTTTTTTACTTTTTTTAATGGAAATGTTGGATAAAGTTTTAATAGAGAAATGTGAACCTTTCTCTATTAAAATTTTATTCAAATTTATTATTCAAACTTAAACTTTGAATAGAAAAATGTTGACTTATGCTAATTTTTTATCATGGTTAACAACTTGAGAAAATTAAACTTTAATTTCGTTGACGTTTTCACTGATAATGTTTTTTAGCGATATTAAAAATAAATAATCACATTAAGAAATGACATTGAATTTATGAAAAAAAACAAAACATTTTTAATTCATTTTAATAAAAATAGTTTTCTTTACGTCTTTGAAGAAACTAAATTAAATTATGTTCAAATTTGTTAAACGTTGTTTTGTTTTGCTTCTTAAAATAACACAAATTTCTCAAAAAGAATTGCATTTTATCAATAAATAATTCTTTAAACTTTAATCAAAAAATGTTGAACAAACTTTAAGAGGGAAAATGCCAAAAATGAATTAAACTTTAATTTAAAAATGTTAACATTTTTAAATTAAATGCTAACATTTTTAAATTAAAGTTTTTAAACTTAAGTAAATCTTTTTTTTGTGCGAGTAAATTTAAGCACCAAAGTTTACTTTTTTTTTTTTTACAATTTTAAATGTAAATAATGTATGGACTCAAACTAAAATAATCAAATATACTTACTTCAAATAAATAAGTTAAATGATATTCCAACCAAAGGTAAAATTAAAAGATTCCTTTGAATTTCTCGAGCCAACAACATAAGAGTACACAGTACGCAGCAGTTCGCTCAAACTGAAACTAAAACGATCTAATTGTCAGCCTGCCTCCAGTCTACCGAGGTAGCGGCGTTACGCAGAGGCCTGTTAGAACGCCATGATTTATGTCTTATTAACTTTATGTTATGAATTACAAAGACATGTTATTAATTTTTTTTTTATCATTAAAGTTTCAATAAAATTTACTTATTTTTTAATACAAAAAATACTCACTCTGCTGAATTTAGTTGGTGAAAAATTATCTCTTCTGATTGTACGAATCCAAACATCAGATAATTTTTTATCTTTAGGAAAAGAAAATACATGTACTTTCGGGCCGTTTTTATAATTCCCTTTGCAATTTGGTACAACACATCTATAAGGCATTGTTTTCGTTTTAAATTAATTCAATATTTAAAAGAAAGTATTAATAAACAATTTAAAAATGCCGCTGTAAAAAATCTGATACAAAAAACAAACGACACGCTTCTTGAAAGTCGGACTCAATATGATGACGTCACATTTCTCCTTAACCCAATCAAACAGGCCTTCTATATCGGTGGTCACGGCTTTACCCACATATTGCAAGATGGGCTTTAATTCTCTGTCCTTGTTCTATTGTTTCTGCCATCAATGAATTTACAGACAAGGTAGACACTACCAAGCCTGAATCTTTCAATTTATTAAGAATTACTGCTCAAATAAACTTACTACTGAAAAACCATCAACTAAGCTACATTAAGAATTCTTTACTCTTAATGTACATTTAAATTATTCAATTTGTGTTCATTAAACTCATTGTTAGTTATCAACAGAGTATGGTGGCTTATGCCATGGCTGAAAAGATTTCACATCTGAAATTTTTGAAGCATCACAATAACCACTGAGAAAAATACCCACCCCTGAGGAATCTGGTTACTTTGCACCTTGATGATGCTGACATGCAATGGCTATGAAGATCAAAAACATGGCCACTGTGTTTTTGGTAGTGTGGGGACAGAAAATGACGGATCAATAAAACAAAATAAAATAAGAGGATGTAGCAGCAGCATTGCAGGGGGAGTCAAGTTATACTAAGATAAAAGGACGGAAAAAATAAAGTAACTATTGGTAATGTGCAAGGAACCAATACATACCAAAAAGCATCCAAACAAATAACTATCATCAATATACAGACATTTCTTTCATGGGATAAGAAGAATTGGGTCAGAGTATAGCACACAATGACTTTTCTGATAATGCTCTCCACAACTCTAAATCTTAACAAAATAAAATTTCTTAGTAAGTAATTGACAAGAGATATAAGAATCTCTTGTTACAAGCAATTAACCATAGCTTTCAGTTTTAAGGTAACATTTAAAAATTATAGCAGTTAAGAATTGATAAAAGTGTTTACTGTATTTTCTTTGCTTTAAAATCATTAATTGGATAAATGTATTTACCTGTTCAGGGACATCTGCTGCCTGTCCACCAACAGACACACGGGCAATACCTGGGAGATCAATTAAGGTCAGATCTGGAACATATTTATCCTCAATAGACAAAGTCAAAAGGGTTTCACTGATACCATCTTTCTGTCCAGTTACTTCATTTTGAGCTGTATAAATGAAAAAGCTATAATTAAATGTTTCGTAACATTTTCTTTTCTAAAGATTGTCATTATGTTGTAACCAGTTGTAAATAAGAACAAAAATAGAGAGAAATAAGATTCAAGTCCAATTATGATTAAAAACTGAATTAAATCAAAAGAAACCATTTCAGTTTCATTCAATAGATAAACAAACCTTATAATTGACAACGTATCAGAATTATTCAAGTAGAATATAAATGGTTTTGCCAGATTTTTAAGCTAAAAAAATTAAGTGTGGGTATTATAATAGTTGGTCACTCATATACGAGTATGCCTGTCCACTAGGGTGGCTGGCCAATCACTGTTACAGATGTCTGCTGATGTATATTTGTGCTTGTTCAACACCTACCCACAAAGCTGTTTATACTTCAACTATCCTTAGTAAACCTTAATTACAGTTTCTGACATGATCAATAGTTTGTATAAGGCCTGTATGCTGAAAATACTTTCATTCAAATGTGGAATATCATGAAGGAAGAAGACTATGCTAAAGATGAGATTTGGAATCTTAAGACTTGTATTCATTTTGATACAGTATGTGTAGTTTTATTATTAAATCTGTTGTAATTTGAGAATAGGCATTACTTTTTGACCAACCCTCTATTAATTATGATTGCCAAAGTAGATTAACATCCGTTGCCCAAAATATGATCAAAAAATCCAGAAAACTTACCTTGCCTGATTGCATTATCAATTTCAGAAGGCTTTTTCAAAACATTAGTAACTTCAGAATCGTCAACTCTATAGCTCAGTGTAGCTCTCCATTTTTTAGACTTTACCTGCTTCATTTGTAACTGAAGGGGGCATCTGGTTACTATTCCTAAAAATGACAAAGAAAAAAGCACTATTAACAGATAAAAACTAATTTGTTTGCATGCCTCTAAAATCCAATGCTTTGATTACATAAGAAATACTATACCGATTCTTTAACACCAATGTTTGAATAAGCAAAATATATTGATATAGTTAGTTAATAGTTAATAATTTATCCAATTAAGTCATTTCTCTGTAGCTACAATAGCAAAGCTACCATTGTTAAGTACTTCAAGAAATAATACTACCTCTAAAATCATTGCTAACTGTTGCAAGAAATATATTTGTAGAGAACTCTCTACTACATAGGGCCAAAAGTTTTTTATTACAAAATTGTTTCATTAATTTTAAACAGACCCTAACTTTGATTTCTCATGGCCCTAACTTTGATATATCATTGCTTTAATCAGACAGAACACAGTGTGGAAGAAAAACATTTTCAAACTAATCAGTTTTTGGTTTGCTTAATTGATTAAGGATTCAATTTATCATTATAAAAATGATTCCAAATTTCATAATTGCTAATTACTTCTGGGATGTCAGGGTGAGAGAAGACTGTCATCTGTCATTGACTAGATTCAAACATCAATGTCTTCACCAGAAGTTTATTGTGATTCTTTTCATTTCACAATGTCATAGTGACTTCTGCATAAAGTTTCAAAATTACCACTCATCTCAACCTCTGATTGAATCTTTCAGGAGTTCAACTGAAACTGGTTGATTCAGTAAAAACATAGATCATCATAACATAAATACCATGAGAGAGAGAGAAGAGAGAGAGTCAATTACAAGTTTTCATATTTAATGCAAGAAATTGTTATTAGCTTTGTTTATAAAAAAAAAAGTTACCAAGTGTTCTAAGTTCAAAGCCTGAGACATGGTTAATCTTTCTACTGGCATAAAATAGAAATTTCAAAGTTCATTTCAAAACAAATAAATTAAAATTAGTGGCCATAAAAACTTTTTTTTTTATACATTTCAAATTTCATATTAACATTTTTTAAAACCATGTTCCTTCATGATATAGGTGATCATAGTTCTCCACAACTTCCTTTTCTTCAATAATCTGATTTGTCATGACTGTTCTTAGCAAAGGTAATATTTTGATTTCCCATTGCTTTCACCACAGTTTTGAATTCAGAGTTATCCTCCTTCAACCAAAGCTAAGGAAATCATTCTACACTATTATTTTTACCCATAGCTGGAGTAAGAAGAGATGGATTCATACCTTTCTCTAAAGAATTATCACATAAACTCAGCCTAACAATTCCATTTACTATATCAATGACCATTACATCATTCACATATCCTTTACACAATGTAATTCTTTTTAGAATTTCTTGTGCAAATTTGAGAGTTAGCTGACTAAACCTTTATAACAACTTGGTCGACAAATAAAATTTAATTTTTATCATTTGTGTGAAGAGTTTAGACAAATCAAATTTTCAGTTTGAACATTTTAAATCAATAAAAATTGAAACGGTACAAAAGCAAATATTAATGAATTATTCCAATGACTGGTGTTTTCAGTTTTTCTTATTTATCACAAGAAAACACAATAAATACTTTCATCACTTTTCTTATAAAAATCCAAAATTAGAGTTATATTTACTCAAAGTGTAACATTAAAAAAATCAAAAGCAAATATATTCATTTATAAGTTCAAAATTAAAGAAAAAAAACACTTATAGAATTAATTCAAATGTTGACAAAAAGTCTAATACCTTACCTGTACCACGAGGAAGTTGAACACCAGAGATAGCTTCAAGAATTGAACTTTTTCCAGAACTTTGATCCCCAATCACCACAAATGTGGGTAGCTTCAAGTCTTCATCCAAACCAAATTTACGAAGGTTGTCAATGGCATCAAGAAATGGGCGTACATTTTGGTTAAAAATTTGAGGTAAATTATTTTCTCTCTCTCCTTAAAAAAATAAAAAAAACAAGACATTACATGAATTTTACATCTTATGCATTTGTGATGTTCCAATATCTTGATCGTTATCCATATTTTGCACAAGTTAAACTTGATTGTCATTGATGAATTCCATGTCTGGGATTACTAAGGTGATCTGTGATTGATAACCTATAAGTATGAATGTACTTCTCAGAGAAACCAAATATTATTTAGATTTAACTTTAATTACCCATCGGTTAGCGATAATGAACTACCTGCCATGATGGTTTTGTCATCTGATATTATACTGAAAAATGTGAATGCTCTACACAGTGCCAGAAAAAAATCATATTGCTGCACAGTCAAGTGAAATGATCAGAAGAGCCCTCAGGTATAGCTCTGAGGAAAGTGCAAAATTGATCCAGGTAGGAACAACTTCACCAGAATCCAATGAAGATTCATTTGCCGACTAATCACCTGCAGATGAACCAGCTTTATCAAGCAGTATTCTTGTCACCTGCTGCCAGAGGGTTGATATGAGAGTACCTTACAAACTCTTAGACAACCAAGCTAGAGCTATCCCCACAGAAGGAGTATACATCTGCACCCAGCTGCACTTTTTTTGATAACAATATCAGTGGGGAGTGTGGTGAAATTGGACCCAGAAATTCTAACCTACCTAGCCTGGCTAAGAGGCCACAATAAATTCCCTGTCTAGTCAGAGCCACCATTGCAATTTAGGTCAAGTGTTAATTTGCATGTGCAGTCAAAACATAAAAAGTTGAGTTGCACAGAGGATCTGCAGATGAGAGAGGATCTTCAAATTTTGATCTATGCTGAACCAGTCTCATTGTGACTATCATCCACAATTTCACATAAAAATTTCCTTGGATAATTACTGCTACCCTAAAAAAAAAAAAAAAAAAAAAAAGAAAGGCTTGTCACTTTGATAGTGCATTAAACTGTAGAGACAGAATTTGCTCAGAGTCAGTGTGAGTGTATATTAACCACTATTATGTACTGAAATATTTCAACTAATGTCCTTATCTTGGTGGTAATGGCAACTTTCAAGGAATTTCAAACTGAAATCTTTATTAAATATACAAGAGTAGACCGTTCTTATTAAGCTGTTCATGTTAAAGGATATTTTGTATCACTTAATTTTTTCTATTTAATTTGTCCTTGATGATGTCACCTGATCCAGTTTTCTCACAACCTGTCTTACTAACTGAACTCACCAGGTAACTAAATCTGCTTAACCAATATTTTTATTCATGAGATTATGGGCCCTCTGTTGGACATTTTAGTGATAATGGGAATTTGCATCCGTCACCTTAATGCTATTTTTCTATCTTTCCAATTGACCCAGAGTATATGACTTCATGCTATTAATACAGTGATTGGGTTGTAGAATTCTTGAGTTTAATATTCTTTCATTCTTAACCACATTCCCTCAATGATTATATTTTAAAGATGAAATAAAAAGGGAAAAAAACTTTCAAATTTAGCTGGATTAACTGTTTTGACTTAGGTGACGCCATTTGTGGCAGAATTTGTGACATCATTCACTGCACCTGCAATGATATCCAAAGTTGATTGTATTTGCATATACACTCAACTGGCTTTGTGGACAGGTTATTCTTCTTGGTTGTGATTGCTTTCAACAAAAAAATGAAGACAATTGTTTTTCAAGACTCTCTGGTTGGGAAGTAGCAACAAAATGATTTCTAGCTTAGCTGGCTATCATTTCCTTCAGCTGAACGGCTACCTCACTGTCTTCGCTCATCCCTTCCTCACTGGCCTCTGGGCAAATACTAACCTCTGGGTTTGGCGATTCCAGATTCCTCCCTCTTTGGCACCGGGTAGCTACCAACTCACTGGTCACCTACCTTCTCTCACAGTTGGACCACTTTCTCCCTTGACTTCCCACCTCTCTCTGCTTATAGCAATAATCACTGGGGTCCCATCCTCCTCCATCCACTTGTGTTCCAGAAGCTCTGAGACCACCCCAAAGCCACATGGGTGGTCAAATCATCAAAGGACTACTTTTATGACTATCTAAAATCATTGATAAAATGTTTTCCACATCAGAGGTAGCTGTAGTCATAATCTCCCAAAACACTGACATTTAACTTTACTCAAAGATGGACTGGAGATAAAATTTCTTTGGATCTCAGATAAGAAAAGAAATTTATCTATTTATCTTCTAAAGATATGTGAGAAATCATATTGTTACACTTATGCTAAGTGCGAACATACAGCCAGCTCCGTCAAACAGCTTTTCATCAACATGTCAGCTTCTGACCCATATTATGAATTGATTGCTATTTGCATCAGTGTGTACAAAACCCGGGAAAGGCCTCGTGTATATTTAAGAAAGAAACTGAAAGTAAGATAACATATGGAGAGAAAAGTCTTGACTATGGTTATCTCAAGATATCTCACTGTTGTGTCTGTCTTTTAGTTCCAGTCATGAGAATAATGAGTGTGCTCTTAATGACAGCTATCTAACAAGCAACCCCCTGGGCCACTCCAAGCTGACTTCCTCCTGGTCCCATCTCCATCTGTATATCTTTGGCCTGGGGAGTTCTCATTTATATAGACCTCTCCCCACCAAAAAATTTGACATTGATGTATTTCATTTCTCTACCCGATGATCTTAATCTTCAGAGATTTTGTTAATAAACATATGGCCTTTGCTTTTGATTAGAACTGTCTTAGAAATCATCCTGTAATGATAATGGTGTTTTGGGGCAAAAAAAATAACCCAAGCTTGGGAATTAAATAAGGAGAGTTTATTAAAACAATTGCCATGAAAATATTTATAGATAAGACAGAGGGGAACTACATCTGAAGGGATCTACATCTACAGTGACTGAAGTAGAAATGCCAGGTGAGGACCAATAATATTATAGACTCTTTGGATTTTTTCAAGAATTTCAAGATATATAGCAGGAACAAGAGGCCAGATATGACAGCAATATTCTATGAATGGACAAATCATAAATTTATAAATATGCAAGATGGATTTTGTGGAGAAGAACTGTCTGGCACAACATGGTGAACCAAAATTCCTAGCAAGTGATTCAATATAATCATTCCACTTCATGTCAGTGGAAGAACCTCAGACTTTCTCATATAGGCATTTATTCAATATCCCAAAGAGCTGCTAAGATAAATCTCCAGAGATCTGGAAATATTTTTCACTCTTGAATATAACTGGTACAAACACAGATTGTCAAGTCCAACTAAATAATCTTCAAGAGGCTTAAACTTCTTTCAAATTCCTTTCTTATCCCTTTAAGCTAATGTTTTATACTGTTCTGCTCTATTTTGTCACAAATAATTTGCTGCCATATTCACCATCCCTCAACGCATATATTTTGGTAATGGTAATATTAGCCATTTCTTTACATGGAAACATTTGGCATTCACTGACCAAGATGTCAGTGCTACCATCGTTGAAATTTATAAAACCTTTCTATTGAAAGACATTTTCAAGAAAATAGGTTTCTCAAGTCAACTTGTTATTGGTCTTTCCAATGTGGATTTCCTTCCCTAACATCTGTTCAAAGTAGTGTGGAACATCAACGTCTTGATTATGTCATTATTTTTTCTTTGTGTTGCATGTGCTACCCATTTTAATTGATGTGGTTTCTATTCTTTGTTTGTGATTCTGTAATGCCAGTCCAGGAGGTTAACAAAGGTCTAAGGGGTTCATTCACGGGAAGTTATTTTGGAGTTTATCAAATAAAAACATGAGGAAAGTATAAGTTTGGATAATAAGAAATATTCTAAAGTATATGTCAAAAGCTGCAGGAAATTATATTATGGTAAAATAGAAGAATGTTACAAGTAGAAAATAAACATTTAACATCTTTCCAGTTAGATTATAGAAAAAAACTTTACTTGGGATTCAGAAAAAATCTGTATAACATAAGCTTATGCCATTAGTAAAAAGAAAAATAGCAAAAATTAACTTACGTGGCATATTGATATATGTTGTGATGAGAACCGAAGAAAATTTAAAATATGCCAATTCCAAAGAGTGAAGGAATGCTGAAGAAAAAAAAAAAAAAAAAAGTGAAAAGGGATAAAGTTATGATCTGCTATAATTTTCAACTTTTTTTCTACTAACCAATCATCTAACACTATTCTCAATTTGAAAATTCCCCTATATAATCTTTAATATGCAAGATGAGATTTTCATCAGGAGGCGAGATGTTAACTATAGTTTATTGTAATTGGTATAACCAATAATCTCCCCTTCCCACCAAATTAATGTACTGTTTCATGTGGATACTCATATTTAAGGAGATACTCCATTTATTTAGTTAACAATATTTATTTTCCTCTGCCAGCCTGAATATTTGAGAAATCTTATTAACGAAAAATATGTGCTATGATGAGAAGGATTTCGCTTAAAGGGTTTATTCAACCTTGATAAGTAAAATATCTTTGTGTCTAAGTCAATCTATCAACAGTTCTCCCTGTCCAAGGGACAGGTTTGAATTCTGTTGGAGAGCACATATTTTTCTTTAATAACATTTCTTGAGTATGCAAGCTGCGAGATGAAAATAAATAAATGGATTTTCTACTCAAATATGAGTAATCACTAAAAATATTGTTTTAAGTGATAAAATATGTGCATATTATATAAAGAGAAAAATAATATTTTTCCTTACCAATGCATACTCCTATCTTAAAAGGAATACTCCTTTCTCATCACAAGATACATGACCATAATTTTTTTTTTTTATTCCAAGAAAATGGTTCATACAAAACCTATTATTTAAAATAAATACATATATAATTTTTCAGATTAAAATAAGAAATAATTACATTAAAAAATTAAATCAACATATATGTATGAGAGAGAGAAAAAGTAAAAATTCAACATTAACAACATTTACTCATTACATCATTTAGCATCTTCCATACTTTACCTTTAAAAGTTTTGAAATCATAATTGTCATTTTATTTCTGTTTATAAATACACATTGCAAAATAAAATCCTTTCATGGCAATAATGGGAGGTTGAACAATTACCTGATTTTTAGGCGCTATTTCATATTATATACCATAGAAAATGACTTGAAAAGGACCTCAAAAATTATACTAATTTATACAAATGATTCCATAAGAAATTTTGGGCAATTTGCTTTTTAATCTAATAAAAATTTCCTGAACAGTTATTTTGTTTTATTCTAAATGTATATGCCTAATTTGAAAATAACTAAGAAATTTTTATAAAATCTACTGCTTTGCCATTATTGACAATAAAAATTCAGACTTATTCATGTCATTGTCGGCTATGGCACAGCAGCCATTATTGGCGTTGTTTGCATCAGTCCATGCACAATAATCGAGACAAGTGAATGTCTATTCTGCAGGAAATATATGCAAGCAACACCAGTAATGTCTGCCACGATACAAACGAGTCCAAACTTTTATTTTCAAAAACGCCAAAAAGGTAGATTTTATCAAAATTTCTTTGTTATTTTTTAATTAAGCATGTAAATTTACATGTAAAGATAACCATTTGGGAAATTTTTATCAGATACTTAGCACGGGGCTTAAAAAGCAAATTACCCCAATTTCAAGTCATTTTAGTATTTTATAGCAGATTTTTTATACAATAAATGTTCACTGTCCTCATACTTACTTCCGCTTGCAATTTCCAATTGCAACTCCTAATTACTACATGCTATTTATATATGTTCATTTATGAGAGATTCTTGATGCCTGCTGTTGAACAATCAAATTGAACATGATCAACCTGAGAAAAGTACTTCTATTTATACTACATCCGTGGTATCTGATTTCAATGATTGAATTCCTGTTAATTAGTAGGCTATTATAGGAAAGATTTGATCATGTGCAAGATAGAAATATAAAATAATCATGTGTAATTATTACCAATACAATTGGATTAGGTGTGAAATGGCCGAGATGTTAAAGTTTTGCAAAATTTGGGCAGTTTGATCATCAGAATCAACATTAAGAATGTGAAAAGGGGTGTAATAATTAAAACAAATTAGGACCCCCATCTGTTAGCCACTTTTTTTATGTCTATTGTGAAAAGGATGGCCCAGAATATGGTAAAATAGGGTGAATTTTCTAAAAATGTAAGCATTAAGGGTACGAGAGCAAAATCATTGGCTCCACCACCCACACACGGTACACCAGGTAGTGTGGAAAACGGGTTCGCCTAATAGTGATGGACTTATGTATGTGTGTATATATATATATATATATATATATATATATATATATATATGTATGTGTGTGTGTGTGTGTGTGTGTGTGTGTATTAACCCATTACCTGCCATGGGCCCCATTTGGGGATCTGTTCAAATTAAACTCACATGTTATTCCTTGTATTTACAGTGAATTGTTTACATACATTGCATTTGCAGGGATATATTTTACAACACTTAGCCTTTAAAGTTTTTATTATTAGCCGTAAGAAGATACTTTCTGTTGTAATTTTACATTTCATGAGTAGAAAAATAATAACTATTTTGAAAATGAATTTTTTTATCATTCCTAATCAATATTATCTTTTGATGTCTTATACACATATATTTTGATGTTCTAGTTTCTATAAAAACAACAATGCTAACTACTGAAATTAAACATAAGGAATAAATAAACTTCTAAGGCACCTGTCTGGGCCAAAAATGTGCATTAAAATAATTTGGCAGTTAATGGGTTAAAACAATTTTTATCAAGTTTTGGGGGATTTTTTTTATATTCTACTATGGTCTTTTTTCATTGATTTTATGGAGTTACCTACTTACTGGTAAATAATATAGACAGCAGGGCTGAATGTATTGAAGACAATCATTAGATGCCTTCGTTGAGCAGGACTTCAAGCTTGTCATTAAAGGAAAACTTCCTTCCCTAAGACTAAAAATCTAAAAAGCAGATTAGTTTATGCTATAAGCTATGCAGAACATAGAAATTAATATTTGATAATATTTTATGATCAGATCAGATGAGAATTTTTTAGTCAAAAAACTCCCAGTATGTATGAAGGAAATTGAATGAACCTCATGAAATAAAAAATACCCTCCACACAATTAAGCATGATGGTGGAAGCATTATGCTTCGGGGGATGTTTCAAAAATAATATAAAAAAAATGAACAAAAGCTGTCTTTGGGGCATCACTGGCATTCTAACATAACAGTGATCAGTAAAATGGCACAGATGGTTATAAAATACTTTGATGGCAGCAAAAATAAATTATTGGTGTACCTAGAATATATTAAGAGTGAAGAATGGAGTAAAATACCAGTCAGTATGTGGAGTGAGCTTTTAAGAAACTATCAAAAATGATTAAATGCAATAATCAAGAATAAAGCTTATATAATTGATTGTTGAGGCAAGAAGGTCAATAATTCTGTCATTATGTTAAATGTTTGATAGATGTTTTTTTTTGGTGTTCAAGGGGATTATTTAGATTGTGTTAATAATAAAAAAAATAACTAAGAGAAATATAGTTGATTATAAAATCTAAATAAGCCTGCCATTTGCATAGAAGAGAGTGGGGTGATGCAATGAAAAAAAAGGCAAAAGGTTCTGAAGTAATAACACATCTGCCATGAACATGAACGGGAGTAGCAGGGGGCAATACAATATATAGCCTGATATGCTATATCATTTAGCTACAGAGGAAGATATGAGCGTTCAAGAGAAATCATGGGAAATTTGTTGTTTAAAGACAGTAATTTTTGACTTTGCTAACCAGACACTTCCTCTGTAGCTACCATGTCAGGCTATAAGACGGTTCCATGTAGGATACAAGTTTGATTTCTGTCGGAGGGCACTTATTTTCTATGAAATTTCTCGGACATTCAGGCCAGTAAATATAGTTTATACTTTTTTATTATAAACAGAACATTTACTTAAATAGTTGTATCTATAGAAATAACATAAACAGAAAATATATTAAAATACATGTGTTACAGAGAGAATGGTTGCTTGCATTAATTATAGATCAGAAAGATATTTTTGCGTTAATTTGGCTGCGTGAAACTTAGCCCCAAACATTCAACGGCAAAATATTAAATAAATAATATTCTTTTTTAGAAAAACAAGAATAAAGCAATTATATAACAAATATATACAACAATGCGAATGAGAATGTTGTTTAGGACAGAGAGAGAGTTTGTTCATTGTTCCTGTCAGTAAAAGGATTTTCAAAGAATTAATCCGTTCACATTAATTAATATTTTACATCATAAATTTCTGTTATAGCTTAATATTGGAGATTAAAGTAAGAGTTCTCTCCCTTTACCTGTTGAATATTGAATATATATTTTTGTTAATGAAACAAAAAGATTGGAAATGTAAGTATTACATGAATTAAGTTGATTCAACAAATGAATGAAGTCTTTTGAAGAAAGTAAGTTGTGTTCTTCCAGGAAAGCCTGTTGTAATCGAAATTGGTAAATGAATTGTTGGTTGATATCAAAAGTTTAATGTTGTGTTTAAAAGATAAACTTTTAAGCTTATAACTTTTGAGTAAATTGTGCATTAAACATTAAGAATCTTAAGATAGTTGACTCTAAATAAGTTTGCGTTAAGTTATGTTAAAACTTTTTAATAAAATGTTTGTTTGGCTTATGTTCTTTATAGTTGTTGTCAAGATAAAAACTAAGTTTGCGTTAATGTTATGTTCAATAAATGTTGACTTTTTATGAACAAAATGTTTGTTTTTACATCGGTGTGGTCCGGTAACTGGTTGATCGACGAACGTAGCTGGTTCGGTCAGATGTATTTGATCCGGTCCGGTAGTTTAGGATTGGTAGGCAACGATAAAAACTGGCCCGGTAGATTGTTGGCGAACGTAGCTGGTTCGGTCGAATGTAGCTGGTCTGGTCCGGTAATTGGTCGAACGTAGCTGGTTCGGTCGAATTTCCCTAAACAGGGCCTGCAGAACAGTAATACGACTTCACAGGGCGGATCGACCGCGGAGACGGGATCGCGCCAACGTGTAAGTTTGGGATTATGTTCAAGGCAAACAGTAACGACTCCACAAAGTTCAAAACGGGATCGAACAGGGCGGCAGAATTTGTTTAGCCAAATTGTTTTTCCAAATATTCTTGACCACTTTTGTCGCTCAAATCCAAGCTGACAAAAGTGTCATTGTTAATAGTTGAATTTGTCGAGTTTCTGTTCGGCGCGATCCGTAATTGATGAGATAAGAGATGTTCAATCCCGTTCGTATGTACATGTATGTGTTTAGTCAGATGCACACTGTCTATGGTTTGGCATCAACGATTTGGACTAGCCGTCCGGTTTCTCGCATGTTGCTTGAAGGGACAAATGTAATCAAGGTCGGCTTTCTGATGATAATCGGCGATCTTGACAGATGTGAGTTTGTTGGTAAGTGAGTGAATTCAAAGTTTGGGATTATGTCAGGAAATCTAACTTAGAAAGTTCAAAGATTTGAACAGCGTGAATTTGTTTAGCAAATTGTTTGAAGTCACATTGTTAATAGTTGAATAAGTTTCTGTTGCTTGTAATTGATGAGATAAGAATGTTTTTCGATGTAATTAATTTTATAGCGTTTGTGGACAAACGACATACATCTTGTGTGTGAGAAAAGAGTTGTATGATATTACGTTATTGGCAGTAAATTAATTTTAACTGTGCAGACATAGTGGAGAACATGATATTAAGATTAACTGACCAATCAGGAGTCAGAGAACAATCAAGGCTCTGTGATCAATTTTTTTTTTTTTTTTACAGATTTTGTCGATTGCAGTACTATTATGTAATAAATGTATTGGAATCGTTTTTAACCAATGGAATTAGTAAATAAATTGATTAACACATCAGAAAAACAAGATCCTGTAGGTAGGAAATGATTATAAACAATATTTTATGCTGTAAGTAATATTTGTTAAAAATAAGTTTAACTTTATATTTGCTAATTTTCCTCGAATAACGTTTCAGAAATATATATTTTATTTTTGAAAGATTTTTAAAACAGAAAAATAGCTTTTGTTTACAAATATCTTGGCTTACGTGATCGATTTTTTTGGGAAAAAAAAATGAAACCCTATTCCAATCAAATTTCTGTCTGAAATACACCAAAGTATTTTGCTTATCGGATATACTAAATTTAATGATTAAATTTAAATCCTTTCATTTTTAAAAGCTAAATTGAAAGCTTCAGGAAAGTTTTCATTTTTTAAAAATTCATAAACCTTACGAAAAGAGTAAGCGTTCTCAAAGCAAATTTGTTTTTTTAATAAAGAAAGAAAATTACTTGTAAAAAAAATAAAAACGCCGTAAAAACTGCCAATCGAATTTTCCTCCCGAGTCGACAACACCAACTGCTTTTATCGGCATTTTTTTCCATTCGTCGACAGCCGGGAAAAATTGCATATTAATACCTCTTATAGCGACTCCTGCGACGAACTTGTTTCTTTTTTGCAAGCTTGGGTTGAAAAGTTTCTATAAGTTTTGCTGACTGAAATCCCTCCCCGGCAGATCGCACAAAACAAACTTTTTTTTCCGGGGTAAAGCTTATTATCTCGTTCACTAAAAAATTTAATGTATTAAAGGTTTTACGTATACCAAATTCCTGCTGAATTTTCAACACGGGCTTTTTAATACACTGACAGTCGCCAATAATACACCAATGACTACTGTCAACAAACACAATATTCTAATAAACTTTAAATGAAATAAAGTTTTTTCATTTTCTAAAAAATCAACAAATGTCCTCCCAATCGAAAACAAAAGACGCCGGACGACACTGAATGCTTATCAGCTATTTCTGCCACACGTCAATCACCATTCTTCCTTACTACACTCATTACGAGATGCACAAGTTGCATTTAACTTCAGTAGAAAACAATGTACATACACTTATTAAATTCCTTGTTTAATAAAACAGGGCTTGTTATTTATTTGCATCCATTTTTTACCCACAACTACCTTTTCTTTTTCATCCTCAGACCACAAGTTGAGTGGAAAACAATAACAATGCATCATCTCGGCGTGAGTAAATAAATACATTCCCTCTGACAGTTCAACAGAATCTGGCAGGAGAGCCCCACGCCTCTTCCCAACCCAGCAGTGTCAAGTGTCCAGCTTCTTGGGTGTTAGTAGCTGCGCCTCAAAGGTTAACAACGGCTTTACCAGTGGACCGTGGAACTTCTGAGAGGAGGGAATGGTTGAACCTCAACATCTGCGGTGCAACAGAAATAAGGTAATGTTTGATTTTGAAGTTTTTTTTCTTAGTTTTCATTTGTTTTTTTAAAAATGCTCACGTAACACTTAATTAATATTCGACATAAAACAAAATACGCCACTATTTTCCATTCATCACACATACATACACATTTGAAGTATAAAAATGTCGAATTAAAAACACGTTTATTCTTTCGAAAATACGCACACGCACTTCTTTTATGAATGATAATGAAAATAATACGCCACTAAAAGTTTTCCCCCCATTCATAGGTCCGCACACACATTATGTACACTACACATGAAGTGATGAATGATAAAATTAAAAATAAAATGGAAAAGCTTGGTGAGGTATTTATTTCCGAAATTTCAAACTAAAAGAATTCAGTTTTGATTAAAGAGAAAATAATTTTTTCTGTAGTAGACACATGCACTTCCGACAAAAAAGGAAAATAAATAATTTAATATATTAATATTAAAAAGTAAAATAAAAGTAGTACTTACCTCGCTGATTGGATTGTTAAGTTAAAATGAGTTGACGACGGTCAAAATAAGTTGTTTTTTTTTTTTTAGTCTTTTTCTTCTTTTTGTATGAAACTGAGTTTTGCTTACCTTTCGCCGGAAACTGTCGTAAATATGAGGCTTGTTTGATACAAAAAAATTGTCATGCCTTCTTTCAGTTGAATTCATTATTGTCCATTGGTAGAGTAGCATATAAATGTGTAATTGTTTGTCTACTTGAGACTAACCATTAGTCACGCACAAAACCCCACTTCAATGGAATCGTCTACTGATTTTCTCAGAAACAAATCGATTTCCTAGAAACGATATTTTTCCGAGAAACGTTGTTTTTCCGAGAAACTAAATATTTCCAGAAATAATGCAGCCACTTTTCAATTTTAATGAGGACCGTTCCTCATTCTTCTTTCACCCACTCCATTTTTTTAGGTGTGGTAAAAAGAGGAAGACTGTGTTCTGCCAATAATATTCTTTTCATTATTACAGCCAAAGATTCATATATGATGAAAAATGGATTTAAATCTAACGTCTTTATCCACTGAGCCATATTGGGACTTATAAACCTAATTCATTTTTTACCAGTGCTCATATTGCAATTTCTTGTTAATTAATATTATTGCATTTTTTACCAGAGCTTGTATTGCAATCTTTTGTTGTTATTCATTGCGTCTCTCTAGTACTCCTTATTACTCGTTCCCATCAGCTTTCCCATACGTGATACAATCTTAAGCGATCATGTATCTTTCGATACATGACAGACGAGGCAGATTTTTCCCCGCAATAGGTTGCCATTTCTTTCTACAGTAGACCATTTGCCATCCAAGGCTATAGAACCTGATCTGTCCTCCTATGACTACGCTCAAATTGCAGATTTAGTAGGTATACATTTTTAATAGGATTATTGATCCTAAACAAGTGGGCCTTTACAGAGATGACGGGCTTATTTCCATCAGAAATAGTAATGATCCTCTATCTTCTCGAATACAGAAAAAAATTAGAAGGGCTTTCCAATTTTTAGGTTTTCAAATTGAAATCTCATCTAACCTTAAGATAGTCAATTTTAAGATGTCACTTTTAACCTAATAACACCTATAAACCATTTTACAAAGAAAATCAAACTCCTATTTACATTAAAGTCCAATAACCCAAGCTCAATAATTAAACAAATCCCTCACACTGTAAACACTAGAATAAATAAATTATCGTCTAACAAAAAATATTTAATGGGAACAAAATAACTGATGACGAAGCCCTCAGCAAGAGTAATTTCAAACAAAAATTAGTTTACCAGGAATCTTTGGAGAATACTAAAACAAATAAAACCACAAACAAAAAAAAAAGATAATATAGTTCAACCCCTCTCTGTAAGCTATTCAATGTAAATATTGGCAGACATTCTTTAAACTTAGTTGACAGGAGTTTTAATCTAAATAACTCTCTACAGAAAATCTTTAATAGAAAAACTCTCAAAATTAATTATTCCTACACCAAAAAACATGCAGAACATTATTATCACACATAACAGCCAAATACTAAAATACGTGCCTCCAATAATTCGCTAAAAATCTGTATAACATAATGATAAAAGGCTCCAAACTTAATAAAAACAAAGTTTTATCGTCAAAATATTTATGCTATTATTAAGAGGAAAGGAAAAACTATTTTTTCATTATTTTAAAATATTTTTTCCTTCTTTCTAACACGTTCTAAATTTGTGTCAAAGATCTCGTTTTTTTTTTGCGGGGGGGGGTGTCAACTTTGTACTAATGGACATTTTAGTGTAGCAGTTTCTGTGGGGAAACCCATTCATTTGGAAATTCTTGCAAAAATCAAATAATAGTCTGCTTTTAATGAAACTTTCAGGACTTATTCAAAAATGAATGAAATTTTTTTTAATTTTTATTTTTAGAAAATCTTGGTAAAAATATTTTTTATATCTGCCCCCCTCCCCCGTTCCCCATAAATTAATGTTATGAAATTTTCTAGAATTTCAAACAGTTCGCAAATTGTTTTATAATACTTATAAGCAGGACTCATTGGAGAAAGTAAATCATTAATTTTTTTCACAACTACTACCAACGTTTTAAAAATTTGCTTCAAATCGTAAAATAAAAACTACAATAAAACTATCTAATTGTTATGGCCCAAGGTTAGGACCATGGAAGAACAACACGAAACACAAGAGTAGAAATAACAAAGAATATATTAGACGAAAAATAATACAATAAGTGGAAGGTGTTAGTATGGCTGTCAGACTGGTTTGGAAGTGAACTACTATCAGCTCGACTCAATTGAATACTGTCTTTCTTTCTTGAGAGGCGTAGTATATATAGCATTAGGAAGAGTTCATTCTATCGATCTTCCAAGTTTTTACCTCGCAGGGGTCTTTAATATTTTTCCTCTTCGGATTAATCATCAAAGGCTCTGTAAATTTTCTTTTTCTACTTGATTTCCGCGGTTCTGAAATTGCTTGAGGCCTTTGCATATTGAAAATATTGTGTCCATTACTTCCTCCTCTTCCTGAGGTAGACTGTTAGAATCCTCTAACAGCCTCTTTCTGATCTGATTTATGTGCTTTTATGCGAGAACTTCGGATCATGAATTATGTAAATCACGTTCCCGATTCGTTTCTCTATTATACCTGGCTCCCAATAGGATGTGTTGTTTTTGAACATTTTTAAAAAAAAGTTCTCCCCTGTGCTAAATTTTCTCTTTGGTACAAACGACACTGGTGATTGCTTTATCTGTTTTGGCAATAATTTGTCGAATACCGATCTAATTTTTCGAGCATTACTTCTGCCGGTGATAATGCCGATGACGTAGTACTGTTCGGTGTAATTCTATACACTTGCAAGAATTGTTGTAAAGCCTTTTCTGTTGGCACGTCATAAGCTTTCCTCGGTGCTCTTTTTAATGTATCTACAAACCTCTCCGCTTGCCCGTTCGACCTTATCGGTTTTATGACTAAAAGTTTCAAAAATCAAAATCCCAGATGTAAATTGAAACAATCAAACAAACGCTCGTGAAGGCAATTTATTGACGTCTCAGAAGTAGGTTTTCTACAACGAAATACTTCTAGCCATTTGCTGTAACTGTCTACTACAATCAAATAGTAAAAACCCTCTAATGGATCGGCGAAATCTACATGGATTCTCGACCACGGTCGATCTGTCTTAGGCCATGGCTTATGAGAGATTGGAGATGCCTTGGCTGCTAAGGAACAGCCCTTGCATTTGTACACCATATGTATAATATCTTGATCCATGTTTGGCCAGTACACATAACTTCGCATTAAGGATTTCATCCTGTTCTTTCCTGGATGGCCCATGTGGAAATCCTTGAGGATTCACCTTTGTAGCGTTTTCGGGGTTACTACTCTTTCATTATATAGCAGAATATTATCACATAACGAAAAACTGTCTGCAATATGCTAATCTTTTCCTGCAATTTTTGTTTTCGTTTCCTTTATAAATTCGTCATTCACTGCTTCGTTTCTTATTTCCTGTAATGTGACGTGGAGGTTTCGAATTGTACTACCTAATGATGTTCCAATATTTTCCTCATATCGTAGCGCTGCAATTACGGAATCTTCTAATTGCCCCATTTTCTTTGGTATTAGTCTCGAAAGACCGTCTGCATGCCCGATTTTGTTTGATGGGAGATACTCCAATTTGAAATTATAGTTTAATAAAATCGTACCCCATCTTAGTAATCTATTAGCAGTGTAGACGGGTAGACCTTTCTTTGATCCGAATATTGTTAGTAACGGTTTGTGATCTGTCTGTAAGGTGAAAAATCTACCGTAAATATATCTGTGGAATTTCGTAACTGCAAAAATTAACCCCAGCGCTTCTTTTTCGATTTGCGAGTAATTTTGTTCGGCTGGTAGTAAAGTTCTTGACGCATGCGCGATGGGTTTTAGTGTCCTATCCGGCATTTTATGTAGTATACATGCACCAACACCTTAAGCACTCGCGTCACTCGCGACTATTATTTCCAATTTAGGATAATAATATGCTAAAAATAAATCTGCTGTTAGTCTTAATGATTTTGTCGAAAGTTTTCTAACATTCATCTAACCATTCCCAAACTTTTTCCTTCTTCAACAGTTCGTTTAGGGGTGCGCGTAATTTGTGCATGTTCGGAATAAATTCTTGATAATAATTTACTAAGCCCAAGAAGCTTTGTAACTCGGCTAAATTTTTTTGGAGTCGGCATTTTTTTTTTTTTTTTTTTGGCTCTTTCCGGGTCTGGTCTTCTTCCTTCTTCGTCAATAATATGGCCCAGATATTTTATCTCCTTCATAAAGAAGTCACATTTATTTTCTTTTAACTTAAAACCGTAATTTTGTATCTGCCTGAAAACCTCTTGAACGTGTTACCAGTGTTGTTCAATATTTTTGCTATTTATCAGGATGTCACCAAGGTATGCGATCGTAAAATCCAGTCCGCCTAGCATAGTGTCCATTATTTGCTGAAATATCGCCGGCGCGACCTTGATCCCGAATGGTAATCTCTGGAACTGATATAATCCTTTGTGTGTTTATGTGCAACAACCTCGAGCTTTCCTCATCTACTGGTACTTGTAGGTATGCTTCGCTCAAGTCTATTTTTGAGAAAGATTTCCCTCCGTTTAACTTTGTGAAAATTTCCTCTGGACTAGGGAGAGGATAGTGGTAATCCTTAATCGCTGCATTCAATCCCACCAGCGCATACTCGTATCTCACCCGATTTCTTTTTCACGTAGACCGTAGGTGCGGCCCATTGACTATATTCCACCTTTGTCAATATACCGGTTTTCACGAGTCTATCCAACTCTTCGTCTATCTTTTCCAATGATGCAAAAGGTACATTTCTTTTCTTCTTGAAAATGGGTTGTATATTTTCTTTTAGTTCGATTTTTGCCGCCATTTTTTTACACCTCCTGAGGCCGGCTGAAAATACGCCGGGGAAACTCTCCTTTAATTTCTCCTTCAATTTCTCTGCCTCG